TTCATTGCTTATGTTAAGTTTTTGTGTTTTGGACTGTTTTTCTTAAACTTTAACCAATAAGGTGTACATGTCTGTCTGGCAGGGTTCATCTGACCTTGACTTCATTTTCATGGTTCATTGCTCAATATAGAATTTCCATGGTTTGGTCTGTTTCTTTTATACTATAAGCAATTGGTCATCTATATTCTGTGTATGGAATGATTGTATTAAAGGTGTGTGATACTTGAAGTAAAACTTTATATGTATGACTATCAACATAAAATCAATGGTCAGTATAGTAGGCGAGACATTTCAGCGTGTGCACTCTTGTATATATAAAAAGAATATCTATGTATTAAAAATGAGAGATTTGATGATTTTAAAACAAATTTAAGAAGGTTTTTCGCCAATTTTATGTGCTTTCTATACAAATGTTTTCCTATTTTGAAAGAATTCAAGCAATAAAATTTCAGATAATAAAAGAGATAAATGCATTATTTTTTCGATTTTCAGTTATAGTTCAACGAGCCAAGGTTGTATGCAAAATTTTAGCAAAATCTGTGACATAGCCCAGTTATTATTCTTTGACCTTAACAAAGAAGTGTCATGTCTTGGTTTTTTTTAATTAATCTTTGTGTTCTAAAAGATAGCAATGCCTATTTTTTTGAAGAAAGAGAGCCTAAAATATCATAAATATGAATATGTCTCTATGACATATAGGCCACTTAGGCCTTTAATTCATATCTAATATTAGCTATCATTGAGAAAACCATTGGTATTTACTCTCAATTGTAAAATCCAACAGTAGTTCCATTATTTATATCAAAGTATGTGCCAATTAAATTTCACCTGGATTACATCATGCATATAAAGACATATATTCCTGACAACTTGTGTATGCCTGTGTGTGCAGTCCTTTCTAAACTATCAAGAGCTAAAAGTGTTAAATTTAATGATATTTTTGCAGATTTCTGTGAGGTCAACAGTTGCCAGCCAAGAACAAAAGCAAGAACAGCCATGCATAATAGTGTCACCTCTGTAACATGGCATGCTACCCACCATATAAAGAGACTTAAGAAAAGGGGGTTAACATGAAATTTTAAATTAGAATTTCGGGTAAAAAATTATGCTTGTGATGTCCGGTATTATTCATTTAAAGGTAGACTTAGTGAAATACAGAAAGTTGAGATTGATGGAATAAATTTGGTGTTTTTACAGATTTCTGTGAAGCCCAAAGTCGACATGCCAGAACAAAGGCTAGAACTGCTATGAACAACAGTATTACTTCTATAACTTGGCATGCAAAACAGAGAAAGAAAATGAGATATGGATTGACGTGATTCCATGGTTGTGTCAAAAACTGCACACGCTGTATATATTTTGTACTTAAGATTAGGATTTTACACATAGTAGAATATTGGATGATATTACTGATTCTTATTACAAACAAAACCATACAAGTATGAAAACAATTTTCGTGCAACTGATTATTCCAACTTAAATTTTATCTGGACTAATTTAGTACCAAGTCAGGAATATGACAGTTGTTGTCCATTCGTTTGATGTGTTTGTGCTTTTGACTTTGATATTTGATTAGGGACTTTCCGTTTTGAATTTTCCTCGGAGTTCAGTATTTTTGTGATTTAACTTTTTAGATAGTTGTTAGGTAATTTTACTACTGTTGCTTGATATGAGAAAGTGCTTGTTTCAGGTTACTTAGATTCCTTTGAGTTTTGAATTATCAATAATGGTTCACTATGTAATATTTCTTGTAGCAGCATGTATTAAATAGAATTTATCAACTTCAATAAGTAGTCAAGTATTGATATGATTTAAATTATGTTCTGTAAAGGACTTGCTAGTGATTGACAATTTGTATACAGGTACTGTTGGTTGATTTTGGGTACCAGCAGAACTGCATTCACTTTGATATAACAGTTATTTCATGAGCTAATTGAAATGCCCTTTGAATTTCTATTGAAAACTATTTTTATACTATGATGGTTCTAATATGTTGTCTACTTTGCTGTGTGAAGACACTTTTGTTTGTTTATAATGAACTGATTCTTCTTTTCATTGATTTTTTTCTTTTGCAAAGTTAACATTTACACTACTATTGTTTACTTTTATTATTAGCCATGATATTAGTCATGAAGCTGTGTTTTTCTTCATTGATATTGATACATATTATTAAGGGAAATTCTTTTCCTAAAGTTTTGTATTTTGCTTTTTTCACTGTACAGTTTGTTTGAGACAGTGGAAAGAGTAGTATTCAAAACTAGTTCCAACCTTGCCACATGATCATGTGTCAATCCTTAGTCAGGAACCTCATATTTATAGAGGTAAATTTTGCTTACAGTAAGTGTCTTAATTTCAAGCCATTTGTATTTATGACCTGCCTAGACTTCGTGCAATTTAATGCTTGCTAAATGATGTAGAGGCATATCCATTGATGTCCTTTTGAAAACATTTATTATAACTGTCTGTTTTAGCTCACCTGGTCCTAAAAGGCCAAGTGAGCTTTTCTCATCACTTGGCGTCCCTCGTCCGTCATCGTCTGTTACTTTTTACAAAAATCTTCTTCTCTGAAACTACTGGGCCAAATTTAACCAAATTTGGGGTTAAATTTGGCCACAATCATCATTGGAGTATCTAGTTTATAAAATGTGTCCAGTCCAACCAAGATGGCCGACATGGCTAAAAGTAGAACATAGGGGTAAAATGCAAGTTTTGCCTATTATTTTGAAAGTCGCTATAAATAGGAAAATATTGACAGGTCAAAAATGTTCAGAATGTTGAGTTTTACCTATTGTTCATTTATGTCAAAACTGTCAGACGACTTCTTTTAGGAGTTTTTGCCCTTATATGATGAATTTTTACATTTTTTAAATTTTTGCTTAATATCTTGAAAATTATAACAGATAGAAACAGAAATTTTAGATAGCAAAAATGATCAGCAGGACAAGTTGAACAAATAAGTCAACATTATCTTAATCATCAGTTGACTCCTTATTAAGAGAGTTATTGCCCTACAAAATGTATAATGACGATTTTTACCAATTTTTTGTCTCGCCTTGACGGAGTCAAAAAGCGAGACATAGGTATGCTGTTTCCGGTGTCGGCGGCGTCAACAATGTATTAGTTTGTGATTAGGTCTAGTTCATGGTGAACCACTAGTGGTAGGTCAATGATATTTGGTATGCAGTTGTATTAGCATTGGCACATCTCATTACCATGGAGATTATTTGGCCCCGCCCCCTCAGTCAAGGTCTATTGACTTTGAAACTTTTCATAGTTTACATGTATTAGTTTGTGATTAGGTCAATTTATGGGGAACCACTAGTGATAGGTCAATGATATTTGGTATGCAGTTGTATAAGCATTGGCATATCTCATTTCCATGGAAATTATTTGGCTCCGCCTCCTTAGTCATGGTCTATAGACTTTGAAAATTTTGCTAAGTTAACATGTATTAGTTTGTGATTAGGTCAGTTCAAGGGGAACCATTAGTGGTAGGCCAATGTTAATTGGTGTTCAGTTGTATAAGCATTAGCACATCTCATTTCCATGGAGAATATTTGGCCCCGCCCCCTCAGTCATGGTCTATTGACTTTGAAACTTTTGCTTAGTTTACATGTATTAGTTTGTGATTAGATCAGTTTAAGATGAACTGCTAATGTTAAGTCAATGATATTTGGTATGCAAACTTATTGGCATTTGCAAGTATTGTTTCCATGGAGATTATATAGCCCCACCCCTGATCATGGTTCATTGACTTTGAAACTTTTACATAGTTTACAAGTTAATGTTTTTGTTTAGATTTGTTTAAAGGGGACGACTTATAATAAGTCTATGGTATTTGGTATGCAGTTGTATTAGCATTGGTACATCTCATTCAGTGGAGATTGTTTAGCCATGTACGTTCAGTCATGGTTCATTGACTTTGAATATTTGCATAACTTACATGTTAAAGTATTGCTATTTTAATTTCGACATTTGCATTATCAAAATTACAAAAAGGCGAGACATATCTCTGTGATAACAGTTTATTGTGTATTTGCCTAATATCTCATAAACTATATTAGATAGATAGAAACTTTAAATAGCAAAAATGATCAGCAAGACAAGATCTACAAATAAGTCAAACATGACCGAAATTAGTAGTCCGCTCCTTATTGAAGTTATTGCCCTTTAATTATGATTGTTCCCATTATTGCCTTTTATCTTGAAAACTGTAATAGATAGATAGCAACTTTAACATAATGGCTGAAATCTTCAGTCGACTCGTTATTGGAGTTATTGCCCTTTAATGATAATTTTTAACATTTTTTTGTGCATTTTTTGCCTATTATCTTGAAAACTATGATAGAAACTTTAAAAAGGAAAAATTATCAGCACGATATGCTCTACAAATATGCCAACTTAACTGAAATTGTCAGTTAAGGTGGTACCCAACACCTTGACTTATATCAATTTGGCTCGTTTAATTTTCATAAAATTTTGACAAAATGTTTACTTTGACCCTTTGACAAAAATATAAAAATTTCAAAAAATTTGAACCAACCACTTTATCAGAAAAATTTCGTTGGTTATATAGCAGTTTGACAAACCCATATTTTGATCATTGAGAAGCTTAATATTTCCTTAACAATACAACGTAATTAAAACGTTTAGCTGATTTTTACTGAGTTATCTCCCTGTAGTGTTAGGTACCACCTTAACTCTTATTTGAGTTATTCTCCTTTAATGATGATTTTTATTAAAAAAACTGGTCATGGTTGAAGATGAATGTCGAGCGACACAGGCTCTTTGGATTCTCTAGTTTGTTTTTTCTCTTTTGGACTGGTTGTTTTATCATTGACATTTATTTAATTCAGGTTGTATTTAATTGTATACCTTTTTTGTAATCTGGTAAAAATGTGTATAGTATTTCTCTACCACCCAAATTACAATGCAAATACCTTTTTAAATATTTGGCATCACATAAAAATTTAAAAGTTATAACTTTTATTGTTTTACAGATTTTTGTGATGCCAATAGCCACCATGCCAAATCAAAAGCCAGGGCAGCAATGACAAGCAGTATTACCTCTATTACATGGCATGCTAGACAGAAAATTAAACAAGCCTCAAAATTCAAATGGAAATAACTTAAATTTTGGCAATTTCTGTTTGCTTTCACATTTTTTATTCAAGCATCATTGCAGTGAAAAACTTGTAAGGCAGTTAAAATTAAACATGTTTTTTGAATCTTATATAAAGCTTTAATGTCAGCAGTAAGATGTTTTTTTAAGGAATCGTTTTATTTTGCACAAGTGCAACCCCCTCCTTTTTATGTCTCAAGAGTTGTCTTCTTTAGTTTTTTTAAGAGTTGTCTTTCTTTGACTGATCTTCTCGCTGGTACCTAACGGCTTAATAGTTGCAAAGTGAAATTTAATAACGGATACTTTTTACAAGCAGAAAATTAAAAAATGTATTCAAATAAATATGTGTTTTTTTTTAGGATTCTTAAACTACAGATAAGCAAACAAATGCTGTACAATTATATAAAACACCTATCTGAAAAGGTTCATAAATCTTATTAAAGTTGATGGATGAAGAGATGTTTTTGTTACCTGTTTAATATACATTTTGGTTTTGTAAATAAAAGATGAATATATTTGTAAGGAGAGCTGTATTGATGATTGTTTATATGTTTTTAGTAAAGTCACGGGATTTTGCCTGTATTATTTTCTTGTTGTTTAGAACATGCTATATACCAAAATGTTTATACCATTGTTAATACCATAAGCAAGTAATGCTTTGCGCTTTTCTTTGTTGGTGTTTTATGGTGAAGTGTCCTACAACCAGATGATTTTTCATGAAGAAATAATAAAATCAAAATGTTTCCTACTTCACAGTTTTTATACGACCGCAAAAAAATTTTGTGGTCGTATATTGGTATGACGTTGGCGTCGTCGTCGTCGTCGTCGTCGTCGTCGTCGTCGTCCGGCGTCGTCGTCGTCCGGCGTCGTCGTCCGAATACATATTGGTTTTCGCACTCTAACTTTAGTTTAAGTGAACGGATCTTTTTGAAATTTGACCATAAGGTTAAATACCACAAAAGGAAGGTTGGGATTGATTTTGGGGGTTATGGTACCAACAGTTAAGGAATTAGGGGCCAAAAAGGGGCCAAAAATGAGCATTTTCTAGTTTCCAGACAATAACTGTGGAACGGTGTATGGATCTCTCTGAAATTATACTACAAGTTTCCATACCACAAAGGGATGGTTAGGATTTGCTTTGGGGGGTTATGGCTCAAACCGTTTAGGAATTAGGGGCAAAAAAGGGGGGAAAACAAGGTTGTCCTGGTTAATGGACAAATACTTTAGTACAAAACATAATTTAAAGCAGTGTAAGGGAGATAAATCAAATACATCATTGAAATTATCTCCCTTACACTGCTTTTAAATTATGTATAAAGTAATGGTTAATGAACAATAAAGATAATCTAAAACAGTGTAAGGGAGGTAATCCAAATACAACGTTTTGGTTACTTCCCTTACACTGCTTTTAAATTATGTTTAAAGAAATGCATATTTATAAAGGAAGACCAGTAAAAATATCTGCAAATGTTTTCATCTTTTTTTTTTTACAAAAAAATCCATATGAAAGATTTGACACTATATTTTTATTAATTCTATTATAAAATAGATTAAGTTAGCACTATGGTAAATTTAAATGGGTAATTATGGTTGCCAACTCCATTGGAAATTTGAATTGAGATTATGACCATATCTTGAGGGAAAGAATTTTTTTGGGAGAAAAAGGGGGGGGGGATAAAAAGAAATTGTGGGGGGCCAATTTTTTCTCATTTCAGATTTCAGAAATTAAAAAGAATTATTCTTCAAATATTATTTTTTTTTCAAATTTCAAATATTGAAAAATTTCAAGAAGTAATCTTTAATTGCACAGTATGGCGCATTAGATTTGTAAAATCTTTGATCACATTTATTTATTTGTTATGCCGAATCTAACAGTGTATTTAGATTTTTAATTTTGGGTCCAGTTTTCAAATTGGTCTACATTAATGTCCAAAGGGTCCAAAATTAAACTTTGTTTGATTTTAGCAAAAATTGAATATATGAGGTTCTTTGATATGCTGAATCTAAACATGTATTTAGATTTTTGATTTTTGGCCCAGTTTTCAAGTTGGTCCAAATTGGGGTCCAAAATTAAACTTTGTTTGATTTCAACAAAAATTGAATATATGGGGTTCTTTGATATGCTGAATCTAACCATGTATTTAGATTTTTTATTTGTGGACCCTGTTATCTAATTGGTTCATATTGAGGTCAAAAGGGTCCAAAATTAAACTTTGTTTGATTTCATCTAAAATTGAATTATTGGGGTTCTTTGATATTCCAAATCTAACCGTGTATTTAGGTTTTTAATTTTGGGTCCTGTTTTTTAAATTGGTCTACATTGAGGTCCAAAGGGTCCAAATTAAACTTAGTTTGATTTTAACAAAAATTGAATTCTTGCCGTTCTTTGATTTGCTGAATCTAAACATGTGATTAGATTTTTGATTATGGGCCCAGTTTTCAAGTTGGTCCAAGATAGGGTCCAGTATTTAAACTTTGTTTGATTTCAACAAAAAAAAATTGAATATATGGGGTTCTTTGATATGCTGAATCTAAACATGTATTTAGATTTTTGATTATGGGCCCAGTTTTCAAGTTGGTCCAAATTGGGGTTCAAAATTAAACTTTGTTTGATTTCAACAAAAATTGAATATATGAGGTTCTTTGATATTCTGAATCTAACCATGTATTTAGATTTTTTATTTGTAGGCCCCGCTATCAAATTGGTTCATATTGAGGTCAAAAGGGTCCAAAATTAAACTTTGTTTGATTTCATCGAAAATTGAATTATTGGGGTTCTTTGATATGCCAAATCTAACCGTGTTTTTAGATTTTTAATTTGGGTCCCGTTTTTTAAATTGGTCTTCATTGAGGTCCAAAGGGTCCAAAATTAAACTTAGTTTGATTTTAACAAAAATTGAATTCTTGGGGTTCTTTGATATGCTGAATCTAAACATGTGTTTAGATTTTTGATTATGGGCCCAGTTTTCAAGTTGGTCCAAGTCGGGGTCCAAAATTATACTTTTTTTGATTTCAACAAAAATTGAATATATGGGGTTCTTTAATATGCTGAATCTAACCATGAATTTAGATTTTTTATTTGTGGGCCCCGCTATCAAATTGGTTCATATTGAGGTCAAAAGGGTCCAAAATTAAACTTTGTTTGATTTCATCAAAAATTGAATTATTGGGGTTCTTTGATATTCCAAATCTAACCGTGTATTTAGGTTTTTAATTTTGGGTCCTGTTTTTTAAATTGGTCTACATTAAGGTCCAAAGGGTCCAAAATTAAACTTAGTTTGATTTTAGCAAAAATTGAATTCTTGGGGTTCTTTGATATGCTGAATCTAAACATGTGTTTAGATTTTTGATTATGGGCCCAGTTTTCAAGTTTGTCCAAGTTGGGGTCCAAAATTAAACTTTGTTTGATTTTAACAAAAATTGAATATATGGGGTTCTTTGATATGCTGAATCTAACCATGTATTTTGATTTTGGACATTGGACCATAATAGGTAAATTAAAAAAATTCAAGTTCTTAGACCACATTCTTTCTGTGTCAGAAACCTATGCTGTGTCAAATATTTAATAACAATCCAAATTCAGAGCTGTATCAAGCTTGAATGTTGTGTCCATACTTGCCCCAACTGTTCAGGGTTCGACCTCTGCGGTCGTATCAAGCTGCGCCCCAGCGAAGCATTTTATTAAACATTTTATATCAATCATTGTGGTTGACAAAATGGGTATCCTTTCTATTCCTTGTACTTGTTACAATGTTACAAATAAACTGTTTGTACAGGTGACATATATCTCTATGTCAATATATTATGATGTATGTACAGTTATAACTTTGAGATATTTACATGAGTAACAGATAGGTGTCACTAGTGAGTCAGGAACTGTTTACCCTACTTCACATTTGAGTTTACCCAAAGTTTTAGGAAGATATTGTCCAGTTTTAGTTTTCTATGTAATTTTGTGTTAACTCTATATTGTTTATCCTTTTGTCTTTTTATCTTTTGGTCATGGATATGTCTTTCATTCTTGACATATAACTTTTAATGAAGATTAAACTAGAAAAGCAGGTCCTGCGCATTGAATTATGATCATGTTTATATTATGGTGTCTATGTTTGCTTTCATGTATGGAAAATTTTTTGAACCATATTATTATTTATCAAATTCATGCAAGGATGAACTGGGGTACTATTTGTTAAGTTGTCAAGTTGAACAAATAAGTTCTCCCAAATGATGGAAATCTTCGTTATTAGTCCCCTACCAACGAAGTCCAAGGGGACTTTAGGTTTGCACTCCGTCCGTCCGTCTGTCTGTCTGTCTATCTGTCTATCTGTCTGTCCATCCGTCAGTCCAGCAAATCTGTTTTCCACACTTTTTTTCTTCATGCTTGAAGATATTGATTTGATATTTGGTGTATTGTTTTTATCATAACAAGTAACAGATCAAGTTTGAATATTGTTCCGGTCTGATGATGCACTTTTTTCGTCATGCTTGAAGATATTGATTTAAAAATTGGTATATAGTTTTATCATGACAAGTTACAGATCAAGCTCGAATTTTGTTCCAGTCTGATGATTTTGTGCAGAGTTATGGTCCTTGGACTTAGAAAATTCACTTAAATAATCAGTTTTCAACACTTTTTTTTTCGTCATGCTTGAAGATATTGACTTGATATTTGTTATATAGTTTACACCATTACGAGTTATAGATCAAGTTAGAATTTTGTTCCAATGCAATGATTTTTTAACTGGTAGGGTACTATGTATTGCCATGCAATACTCACAGAATGCTTGTTTTATTTGTTCTGTTTTTATAGTCTCTAAAGGTAAAACAAAGTATTTTTGAATTATTATAAAATTTCCTTATAAAACTGCTCTATCTTATGAAGCAGACTTGTTTCTTTAAGGACAAACTAAGGTCACTATAAAACACAAAATTTGTAAGGTATATTGCATAGGCAAGTAACACCAGGATAACATAAACTCTCAAGCTGGTTTTGGACATTATTTATTTGATTTTACGATACTGTTGTGCTACCTAGATAAATAAAACATTTGTGACTTATTATATCCCCCTAATACTCTGCTTAAGACTAGGGGAATATTAGACTTGGAGAGGGCTTGAATTATTTAAGTTAGAATTATTTTCATAAGTACATTTGTATTTAGTGTAAAATACTTAGAGATAATAATTCTTTTGTAATTCCTGTCATGCCAGTCAATTTTTTTTCCTTAAGTATAATATTTATCTGCAGGAAGTATATATGTATATTCTGATAGCAAAACAGAAATTAAACAGAAACATTACACTGTTTGACGTAAAAAGTTACTGTCTCACAATTTTTTAGTGCTATTCCAGAATAATTATATTTGAAAGTACAGTAATTTGATATGGAAAAATGTCATAACAAAGATTTTTAACAATGTTCAAACCTATGATTACGTTGGATAAAAACCGCAATTTTTATAAGTGTGCAAGCAAAACAAATTTCTTGGTAGAGGGGTATAAATACAGCACAAACAAAATTATCAAAAGACCAAAAAAAGTGAAAAAGTATATTTTAACAAAACGCATTTGACTAGCAGGTCGAACAACGGATGTTCTTAAACCCTGCAGACTGCCATTGGCGATTGGCAAATAAACGGATCACCAGATGTAACAAAATGGATCTTAACTATTAATTTAATACCAAACAGAAAACAATAAACTTGCGGAAAAGATGGTATACCACAAACAAAAGGTGCAAAAATTAGTACACCAAATTCGGATTTCGACAATTAATACTGGTTCTCTGTAACAATTTAAACTCTTATATAGGGAGTGTGGCACGCATGGTCATGGATTTTCTTCAAACTTCACACACTAACTAGTCTTGATGAAACAAACAAAAAATGGCAAAATTTTGTTTGCTAAGCATATCGGTTGCCATAGCAACCGATGACCAGTTTTACCTCTTCTGAATATCTATGATTTTAAGCTGAAAAAGGCTATTTTCAACATAATTGTTCATAATAAATAATTAAGAGAATGAATATTGTTTTATGATTTTATTAAATATATGCATTTTATTAATGTAATTTAATAACTGATATTTTCATATTCCATTTCGATCATAATCACATATACCCCCCTATTTATGTGGTTTGCATTAGGTAAAAAATACCCTTTTGAGGTCATTTTTGAATGCTCACCATAGTTGTTTGCGGACACCTGAGTTTAAGTCAACCATGAATTCACAAATATCATAGTCTTATCTTATCAATGATGCGAAAAAGTAATGGGGAAGTATGTCTCAATATTTTGTTACCATGGATACAAAATGCTTAGTTTTCATTTTTTCAGAAATTTTTTTTTTTTGAAAATTTTGAAAAAAAATGTTTAAAACCTAATTCTGCAGTCAGAAAAAAATAAATAAATATACAATATGTAGAAATTATTGTAATCATCAAAATTTTAAACATATTTATATATAACGGTATGATAGTTTTAACTGTGTTGCTATGGAAACAATTTCATTTCGATACACAAGTTTAAAACAATTTTGAAAAAAGTTTCAGTTAGTTTCTTAAATGTGCACAAAAGTAGGAAAACTAAAACACTTATTAAGTTTCAATGTATACACACACATGTATATATAAATGATTTTGCTGGTATAGTATTTCGATAATGGTGTTACCACTTGAAGGAAACAAACACAATTTCTCTATTCTGGATAAAAGTGCTGATTATAAAGAAATTTCAGTCTGTTTTCATGATCATGAAAAATATACAAGAAAAACAATTACTCAACCTAGAAAAAAACAAATAAAATCATTTAAAAATTTACATATTCAATTGTACAATATTTGCCATTGAATGTGTTGCCATGGAAACAAGTAGTTCATTTGCAAAAATACGGATAAGTACTAATTTTTACAAATGCGTTTTAATGAACTTCGATACATATAACAATGAATGTATACAGTTTTGCTTACATAAGCAGGTTTTCTTGTATTTGAGAAATATTAATAATATTCCAGGCATTATTAGTGATAGTGTTGCCATAGAAACAACAAATTACATGTATATGCATAAACTTGGAAAACGCTTGAAAATAGACTAAATCTCTCATACAAAAACTCTCTTCTGTAAGTTTTCAATTTAATGCAGTGTCAAAGAATGATGGCTTTTACAAGTCAGTCCATCAACTAGTATTCAAATGCTGTAGTGAAGATTAAAGATCAAAGTGCCACTTGGTGTTGACAGTTTGGAATTTTAGCTACTAGCTACTAGCTCCTAACTATTTATACATAATATTAAGAAGATACAATCAGAACATTGACAGTTCAAGAAAGGCCAAGCTTAAAATTGTTTGTGTGAGGCACAGAAATAAATACAAATGAAAATAATCAATATCGTTAAGGGGGGGGGGGGGGGGGGGGGGGGGGGGGGCGGGGGGTAAGATTTTGTAAAAATAAAACGATCGATTAGTTATGGTTTGCTTTGTGTCCAGTGTCAAATATCTCATGCATATTTCAGAAGAGAACAAATCAATAAATTTAACAGGAACATTGTTGCTCCAGTGCTAGTCTACTGACCAAAAATTAATTAAAGGCAATTATTTGACACACTTCAACACAATACAAAATAGAACAAAAAGAGTCAGACGTTGGTCCTCTAAGTAAATGATAATTGACCATCTAACCTTTCTTTCTATAAAGGAAAAAATACCTATATTATGAGCTGTTTATTTTTTTCTCATTCATTATTAAACTCAATGTTGAAATGACAAAGCATGTATAGCTATACGTTTTGAATATTATTGTATTATTGGATGATGAGTATCTACATGGAGATCATTTTTTAGGTGAAGTTGAAAAAATAGACAATTTCAAAAAGGTCCGGCAATATGGGTAGGCTGGGATGAAGGCGGACAATTTGAAATATCACTGAAAATCGGGATCAATTGGACAAGGACAGAAATTTCAATAGGTCAACTTGGGTGCCCCTAAAAGAATTAACACAAGGGTTCTTTAGCAAACAAAGGGCGTAACCAACAAGGGCGGGTACTGTCGGCCGTTGACCCGATGGTCCCTGCTATCCATCCGACACATTTTTTGTGTGCCGTTCTGGCCGGGGAGGATCTGTCAGATGGTGGCTGCGGGTCTTAAAACGAGCAGTGGGGGGAAATATACCATCTGGACAATTTTCATATAAGGGGTCGCACTGACTGCCTAAAGTGATGGCCCGCTACATTTATGCTTCAGTGATTCCATATGTAATCAACCAAATATTTCAAATAAATAAGGAGGGGACGGGCCCTCAGGGCCCCTAGATCCGCCTATGGTAGCACTATCTTAACATTAGTATTAGGCATTGGATTATTGAAATTTGAGAAAATAACAATTATCTTTATGGATTTTTAGCAGCAAATTAAAAAATATTGACCATAAATTATGATAACTCTTTACCGTGAAAGGGTAACTTTAAAAGAATTATATACATGTACATATAATTTGATTTTCACTGAACATGCTGAAAGCCCATTACAGAAAGATGTTTCTCAAAATTAAAATATTGTCTTTCTTTTAACAAAAAAAAATTAGATTTTACTTTGAAACAGGACTCAATGTTTATAACATATATACATGTGACTTTTTGTCCTTGACTTTTTGTCTGTGACTTTCTGTCCAATATTCTGACCGTTATCATGACCAGGAAAAATTACTTTATACCTATTTATATGTAATATGCTTTGCATCAAATTTATAGAAACACTTAGATTGAACCATTAATTTTATCAAATAAGAAAATATAAAATGCTATTCAAACATATTAGCAAACGATAAATGTATTGACTTTCGAGAACATTTGGCATACCTCAAGTTAAGTCATTGAATATGTTTACTTATATTTTATTAGAATATTTTAAACTACCAAGATATCGTGCATTCAGGGGCTCGGGCATACCTCAAGTAGTCCGCGAAATGTTTATTTTTTTTATGAAAATATTTAAAACTACCAGGATATCCTACACAAGGCTCGGGCATGCCTTAAGTTGTGCGTGGAAATAATTATTTACTATTATGAAAATATTAAAAAACAATTATATTGGATTAATCAACTTACATGTATTTTTGGCCTACTTCACACCTTTTGTGTGTTACTTTATATTTGTGATCAAACATGTCAAATTATAACCGGTAATATACAACATAATTTACAACACAGTAAAATACAATATACTTCTCATTACCATAAAAAGTTTAAATAACCTTGTGCCCGTCACAGTACCCTAAACTGTTTTTCCAAGTTTTTTTTATTATTTGATAAAGACTTTACCATTCAATCTTAATGGTTTTTTTATATAAATTTTAAGCAAATCCTATAAGATATAAACAAGTATTAGGTAGTACAACGATCAGGACACCGTCAACGTTGGTCAGGTCAAGTTTTTTTTTACCCAAAAACATATATTTCCCCCCTGTTTTTTAATGATATAAAATAACACAGAAATTTTCATCGGTTAGGTCATTGCTGTTGTTGGTCAGGTCATTGTTAACGTTAGAAGGGTCACGTTTTTCGGAATTTTTCAGAATTTTTTAATATTTTTTTCTATATTTTTTCATATAGTTATATATTAAATGATCAAATTTTATTATATTTCAAATTTAACACAAGTCCTTTAAGAAATAAAAAGTAATGAGCATTTTCATTTGGTCCTGTCATTCACGGTCAGCGTTGGTCAGGTCACGTTTTATGAAGATTTAAAAGTTTTCTATATTTTTTCTTATATTTATGTATTAAATGGACTAAATTTATAGCAATTCAAATTTGACAAAATTTTTTTAGAAATAAAAAAGTTATTAGCATTTTCGTTTTGGTCCAGTCATTAGTGTAAAAGGGAGATAATTCGTATTGTGAGGAATACTGCACAATGACCATTTTTTAGAAATTAATTTCAAATGTGTCTAGGTAGATTCCCCATAACTTTTTTTAATTTTTGATAAAAACAAGGCTGAAATTAATTGTTTTTGTGCTTCTTTTTAATAGATGTAGCCGCATAATTTCACAACACTACACCAAATATTGTATTTTTCTCAAAATTCCCAACTTTCTCCGCTGTTACCATGGTAACCAACCAATACATATATCGGTTGGCATTATTTTTCTGACTAGGCTAATAGGATATACATATCAGCCAATTTTCAGAAAGATCGGTGACTATGTGTGCCGAAAAAGTTTTAAGTGGTTACAGAGAATGAGTATTAATGTCTCATCAGTGATGTTAGGAATCAAAATGAATCTGGGTCCGTTTGCCCTGATTCACGTTCTCCCTTGTACCTGATCGCCCTAATACCTGTTCGCCCAGGGTCCATTCGCCCTGATTTTTATTGTCCCACCCAAAAAGCAAGACATAGGTATGCTGTTTCCGGCAACGGTGGCGGCGGCGTCAACAATGTATTAGTTTGTGATTAGGTCTAGTCCATGGTGAACCACTAGTGGTAGGTCAATGATATTTGGTATGCAGTTGTATTAGCATTGGCACATCTCATTACCATGGAGATTATTTGGCCCCGCCCCCTCAGTCAAGGTCTATTGACTTTGAAACTTTGCTTAGTTTACATGTATTAGTTTGTGATTAGGTCTAGTTCATGGTGAACCACTAGTGGTAGGTCAATGATATTTGGTATGCAGTTGTATTAGCATTGGCACATCTCATGACCATGGAGATTATTTGGCCCCACCCCCTCAGTCAAGGTCTATTGACTTTGAAACTTTGCTTTGTTTACATGTATTAGTTTGTTATTAGGTCAGTTTATGGGGAACCACTATTGGTAAGTCAATGATATTTGGTATGCAGTTGTATAAGCATTGGCACATCTCATTTCCATGGAGATTATTTGGCCCCGCCCCCTCATTCATGGTCTATTGACTTTGAAACTTTTGCTTCGTTTTCATGTATTAGTTTGTGATTAGGTCAGTTCAAGGGGAACCGTTAGTGGTAGGTCAATGATAATTGGTATGCAGTTGTATAAGCATTAGCACATCTCATTTCCATGGAGAATATTTGGTCCCGCCCCCTCAG